GGGTTTATTTAAGCTAGATCTTGCGTTTCCCTATCATAAAACCAATTATGGTGGTTGCCACGAGGTGTCAATTAAATGAACAATTACGGATTCTATTTAATTAACGTGGCAGTAGACTATTAAATTAAATCAAATACCCGGCCGTTGATATTCAATTAATAAAATACCCATGAACAATTAATTCAGGAAACGCACGAATAATAATGAATTGGAAGAAATAATGAAAGCTTGATTAGATCTCACAAATATTATGAACCGCGCCCTCGCATCACCCTTTGGGTAGAGGAAAAAATTAGCCGCTCCTCATCATGCCAAACTCACGCGATTTAATTGATTTCATCCACGCGAACATCCAAAACAATTAATTCCAAGGAGTGGAGCGAAGTCAAGAGACGGGATATAAACAATGGAAAATTGTCGCCAATCAAAAGCGAGCGTCAAAGGCATCCACAGCAAAAGATTGAAAAGGTGAACTCCTAAGCTAGTCTAAGTTGCGGCCGAAGAAAGCCAAAAGCCAAGTCACAGGCGTCTGACCCAGGAAAAAAAGAAAAAGCAAACTAAGCCTAAAAGTAGATGATCCTTTTGAATCTCGCTTTTCTTCTTTATATAGCCGCCGCAGTAGGTTTCCAACGTCTGACCCAATTCCTCTAACAAAAGCTATTCCCTCTGGAGTTTTGATCCCATGCGCCTGGTCCACATGGGCCACGGTCCGGCTTTCGGTTTCGTCCACCTTCTAAGGCGTGGCCACGCTCTGAAATGAAATGTCTTCTGGAAATTCACCCCGTGAGATCATTTTTCATGCCGCCCACCTACAATTCACACCAGTATCGAATATGAGTGAAATTCCAACTCTTAGCACCGTAAATAGCCAAAATTAGGACAAAATAACAGTGCAAAATATGCCAAATAACCGTTCTATCAAATAGTTGTAGTAGGTTAGTAGTAATAGGAGACTAGTCTATTTTCTTTTTCTTTAGTCATTTTTCCTTATCTCTAGGTTAGGAGGCGGTAGACTAGTCTCTAGGGAATGGAGCTATTCATTCTTTTTGGTCGAAAGACACAGGCCGAGACGTTTGGCATTTTTTTTCTTTCTCTTTTCTTCAGATATTTTAATCTCTAATTGAGGAATGGTTTCCACAATTGATTCTGCAATTCAAGTGGGATTTTCTGGATAGAGATGAACTAAATTTCTATTTCTAGTCAAGAAACAACGGAGGGTGATTCAACTTAAATTGTGAAATTGAATTGATTTTATTTATTCCTATTATTTTCTGGTATTCGTATATTTCTTACTTTATTTTTTATGATTTTTGTATTATTCAAATATCTAGGGCCCAGACTTTAGATTAATTCAATAACTTAAAACCAGTTAGAATAATTAAATCCGTAATTGTTTAATTATTCTAAATCAGCGATAACTGACATAATTAATTTTGTGTCAGGAAAATATATGAGTTAATTTAAAATAACCCTCGTAACGCGTTATTTGGTTAGAACATAGTTTCTCTAATTCTTAAAGTAATTGAAAAATTGAACTCTAAGTTCATACCTTGGATTATTTCTTGATTTGGGCAATAGCTAACGGCCGTACCTTGACTATTGATGAATTAAGAAGAAGTTGACTGTTATCACATGTTTGGCAGTTATAACCTATTTAGTAGTTAATAAGTGGAATTACTATTATATCAATGATCAGTTAAATGAACCATTTTCGAAGTAGCTTCTTGGATAGAGTTTGTCCAATATTACTTCAATTATGATAAATTGTTATTTTATTTTATTCACATAGTTCAATTATTCCCATCTTTATAAAATCCCCCATACTTTGAACTCTAGAAGAAGCGAGTTCTTTCCAATTCCTGTGGATTCGACCCTGCTTACCACTATATGCAAAACTAATATTTTTCGTGAGTAGGTAATTATTATTGCATGGACACAACACATGTTAGTGCGCAATTGAATAAATAGTTTATTATGGTCATTGCTATATTTGCCTTTCTGAAACACACAACAGAAGAATTTATTAATTTTCCTTAACTAGAAGTTTATGCAAATACCACCCAATATTAGTCCTCTATGACATTTGTTCCAAGCAAGGAAAAGCAGAAGACAATTTGGTTTTACTGATCAAGTATCCAATTTCTTTATAGAAGCATGCTTAGCTGTACCATATCTTCAGCATTATTCCTTTCCTGATACACAAAACACTTCTAAACTTTCTACCATAGGCGAGGTAGTCCAGATGCTTTCTTTTGCGCTTCGCTGCCAGAGCTTGGCTCGAGCTGTTCAAAGTATCATATCCAATATTAGAAGAATTGCAGTTTAAGAATGCATAAACCTTGGTATCAAGTTTTGAATATGAAATTCACTCTAAATAACACTCTGACAAAGTAGAGGAGTCGGGATCTTTATTCAAGGGGTGTAATAATTTTATATAAAACTTCCTCTGTATAGTTTGTAGACTTTTGGTGCAACTAATTGTTCACTATAAATTAGTAGACATACACCAACTCAATATTAGAAAAATAAAATAAAATATAGTCTATGATCTATTATGTCCTGTGGTTATTAGTTCATCGAATGGTATACAATTGCCCACTTACTAATATTACCGTAAAACTACATGATGCACATTCTAATAAGCTAATAATGGAATACATTCATTCAAACTGTCAAATGAATATTAGGTTTGCAAGCAATTCATGTGACTAAACATATAACAGAAGTTCAACGTTAAAAAAATAAAATTTACAAAATAAAAATACTTATAAAAAGAAATAAGAATAGCATCATATAATATGTGTTACTTAAAGGTTCCATTGTAGAATTGGTAGGCAATTTGAAAATTCAATGCTTTTGGAGGGGCAATTGTAGGCATAAATTAAATGTTATGAAAATTTAGGGAGCAAAAATGAGACAATGCTAAAAAATCAAGACCTTAATTTTATAGGTTATTCCACAATTTTTCAGAAGTCGTGGGTATGATTGCAATCCATGGAGATAACATAACTCCGCCTCTGCGCTGACTAGAAGTTCGCCCTTGTTTTGACTTCTATTTTTTTCCTTGCAAAGGATCAAGATAAAATTTATCCCAAATTTAGAGTTGCAGACACAAAAATTTGAAAATTTTGGATAGATGAAAGAAACTTGATTACACAGAAAAGCTTAAACATTTGTCATTGGCAGCTCCAGAAGTTGCCCAATTGTAACTATTGGGAATACATTGAATTGAGATGGTATTTCTTTCAACAGTTGGACACACACTTGCTTCATTGTCGGCCTTAATTGAGGATTGGTTCTATGCATGACAATGCCAGCTTTGCCACCAAGGTCACTTGTTTCGACTCTTGCGTACCTGGAGATGAGAGTCGAGGATCCACAATGTCTTTCAGCAGTATATCACATACAGTTGAAGTAGATGATGATGCCGACAATGTGGACAATATGAAATCACCTGGATGCTTGCCCATGATCACTTCTAATGCTAATACTCCGAAACTATAAACATCACATTTTTCATTTACTTCCATGGTATAAGCAAGTTCTGCAATTCACAAAGTCAACAATCACTTCATACTATGGTGCAACTAAATCCACTAGAAATATTGAATCGTATTCTAAAAGCGTAAATTGCTTTGCTCATTTAGCTTTATGTAACTATGGATTAGTTGAAAAAGACAAGGTAAAGAGACAAGTTAGGTTTGTTTGAGCAAAGAAAAGTATACCTGGAGCAGCATATCCATATGTTCCAGCAAATGATGTCCAATGAGATGAATCAGGCATCAAGATTCTTGCAGTGCCAAAATCAGAAATATGGGCTTGATACTCAGAGTCTAACAAAATATTTTTGCTAGAAATATCTCGATGAATAATGGAAGGCGAGCAATTCTGATGCATATAAGATAATGCATTTGCCACATCTTTAACAATATTTACCCTCTTGATCCAGTCAAACATGCCCACTGTTTCGTCATTGCTCATCAATTGCATCAAACTTCCCCCTTCCAAGAATTCATAAACCAAGAAAGTGTGTCGTGCATGTGAACAAAATCCATACAGCTTCACGATGTTGCGATGCCTAATATTTGTTAATGCATGGATCTCATTGGTGAAATCTTTTGGCCTCCTCAAGGCACCACCATCCATTCCATGAAGTTTTTTGACAGCAACCACTTGACCATTTGGCAACTCTGCTCTAAATACACTTCCAAATCCTCCCACTCCAATGCAATACTTGGGGTCAAAATTGTCTATTGCATCAATGATTCTCGTAGACCATTTTTCCATCAAAGCTCCAGACAGTGAACATATTTCTAGTAAATTCCTGAGGCTTATTCTCCCCATTTCTCTTACGTGACCTTGCAAGAATGAAGATGCCTACAACCATGATCAAAAGAAACGTGGTAGATAGTATTGGAGCAACAACTAGAAAGACAACTCTTTTTGTTGTCCTTCTACTTGCCTTCTTTTGAGTTGATTCAGAGCAAGGCCTCAATCTGGCAACACTGCCACATAAACCTTTATTGTTTCTCAGGGAATCAAATGGAGCTTTTTGAAATGCACTAGTGTTGGGAAGAGGGCCTTTCAATTGATTGTAGGATATATCAATCGAAATCAAACTGAAGCAATGATCAAAGCTTTTGGGGATGAAACCTGATATCCTATTATGCGAAAGATTCATCGTCTCAATGCTTTTCATCTCACCTAACTCTGGTGGCAATTTTGATTCCAGCATGTTTTGGCTGAGATCCAGAGTTGCAAGTGAGGGAAGATTTCCTATTTCAGAAGGAATACTACCGGTGAGTGCATTTTGGGTCAAGTTTAAATCCAGCAATTGTGTGCAATTGCCTATTTGTTCTGGAATTGAGCCACTAAGATTATTGGCTGACAAACTAAGATTTAAAAGTCTAGACATCTGACCAATTTCTGATGGTATATTGCCTGAAAGGTAGTTGCTATCCAGCTTAAGCTCAAGCAACAAAATCAACTTCCCCAAACTTCTAGGGATCTTTCCATGCAAGTGATTTGAAGAGAGATGCAGTTTTTTGCAGACGAGATACCTCTCCAAGCCCAGCTGGTATTCTGCCCGAAAGATTATTGTTCGACATCCTCAACTCTGTCAAAGTCAGATAGCCGCTCCAATTCCAAGGCAACTGACCAAAAAATTTGTTATTGTTTAAATTAATATGCTCGACATATGGAGAGACGCTAAATTCTTCAGAAATATTTCCTGATAGTTGGTTGTCAGCTGCACTAATTCTTCTTAAACTAGAACAGTTTTTCAAGCTTCTTGGTATAGCGCCGACAAAGTCATTTTCAGATACTGTGAACCACGTCAATGAGCTACCAATGCAAATATTTTGGGGTAAATGACCAGTAAGATAGTTTTGAGACAGCCATATCGAATTTAAATGTGTAAGATTGTTGAATCCATCGGGCACGGCACCACTTAACTGGTTTTGGAAAAAATCAATATAAGCTAGTAGCTTCAATTTTCCCAGTTCGGGAGGGATAGACCCATAAAAGTTGTTTTGAGAAAGATCCAGGTCATTAAGATTGGTTAAATTTCCTATGGCAGAAGAAATCTGTTCGGAAAGATAATTTTTGAAAAGATACAGCAGAGTCAAGTCACTTAAGTTTCCAATAGACAGAGGAATCGGACCTGTGAGCATGTTGTTAGCTAAAGAGAGTCTAGTAAGTGATCTGAGCTCCCAATCTCTTTTTAGAACGGGACCTGATAGCTGGTTCCAAGAAAGATCCAAATCATTTAGTTTTGTCAAGTTTCCAGTTTCTTTAGGGATAGGCCCAGAAAGATAATTTTGGGAAAGATACAGCAGAGTCAAGCCACTTAAGTTTCCAATAGACAGAGGAATCCGACCTGTGAGCATATTGTCTGCTAAAGAGAGATTTGTCAGAGATTTCAGCTTCCCAATCTCTTCTGGAATCCATTCAGAAAGTTTGTTGCTTCCTAGGTCTAGCTCGGTTAGGCCTGTCAGATTGCCAATAGACGTAGGGATTGATCCACTGAATGAGTTATATGAAAGGTACAAGAACCTAAGATTGGTTAGTTGGCTAATTTCAATAGGAATGGCACCAGACAATTGATTTGACCAGAAGGAAAGATATGTTAGCCTAGAAAGGTACCCAATGTTGGATGGTATGGTCCCACGGAGTGCATTTTGGGAAAGATCAATTGTAGTTAGATGGGGTAGAGACGAGAAATTGAGATGATCAAGTGTACCTTTGATGCCAGAACTAGTGATGTTAATCACCGATACTCGTCCAGCTTTGTTGCATCGAACTCCATCCCAGGCACTGCAAGGATTTGCAGAAGATGACCAGGATGACAACTTAGATTGGCTATAATTGTCGAGACTAGCTTTCCAAGTTAAAAGAGCTTTCCCTTCACTTCTGATACTTGATGCTGCATGCATTTGATCAGAAGCAGCATTGACTCCAGAACTGGAGAGTAAGTGAAGGATGGCCAAGCATACAGAAACTAAACTAATTGGACAGATGGAATAATTCAGGATTGACATATCTGCTGGATATATGTCACAATGAAATTCTTAAGAGAAAACTTTTGCTGTAAAGCTGATGGCTATTTTAACACTTGTGCAGGTATTTATAGAGTTGAAGATCCAAGAAAACAATTCTGGTGACTGAAATCTTCTGTCTCTCGTTAGCATCATAAATCCATGTTCTCACCTTTCATGCAAAAGTCCGTGTTCTCACCTATCATCCAAAAGTCCGCTTTTATAATTTATTTGACATAAATGCAGAACATCTACACGAAAAGTCCATGTTATAAACATGTTTGCATCTACATAAGACAGAGTTTCTTTCCCTGCATATGACGTCTATGTAATAAGCTTTATTTCCTAGGGGTCCTACAACAATCTAGTTCAGTCTTTAACTCTCAACAAATTTTGAATAAACATCCTGTTGTTTTTTCCTGTCTTTTTCTTCATATTCAAATCACATGTTTTAATAATGAAGTTCTAATGCATCTATATTTATGTTTGTCTATATTGCTAATTTTATTTAATAGTTCAAACAATAATGTAAAATATTCATGTCATTTCTAGCCAATTGAAATACCAAAAAAGAAAAAGAAAAATTATTGTTTAATCACCTTAATTTGGATACACTATATCTTGTTCACATTCTACGTAGATATTTAATTGAGTGCTTAATTATCAATATAAGCCAAAAAATGATAAAACTAATTATCAACTAATGATGGATATAATTAGATGGATTGTGAGTCTATAACAAATTTGATACCAATTATACAAAAGAGAAGAAACATGCTAAAAATTATTAGTAGGAATAAATGAAATAGAAAAATAAAAAAGAAGAAAAAAAAAGTTGAAAATAAATTTAGGGTCCAGTTTAACCTTGCACCCGTTAACAAGTGATTTATTCTCCCTCCTCATTCTTAATTTTCAATTTTGGACACTTTGATACACTTTAACACTAAATCTTGAGGATCCATCTCATCAAAGAAAATTCTAAGATTATCAACCGCCCAGAATTTCATACACTTTATCGTTAAAATTTTAAAGCTTTGGGAAAAAAATGCGCGTACCAAACTTTATGAGCAGATGACGAGGGTTGCAATAATTTCAGGAGTTCTTTTATTTTTAAATATTTCCACCCAAAAATTTTTCCGAACTTTTTTTTTTCTTTTGCTAGTTTTTGTCAACTTATATGCATCCCATCTCAGTATTTTAATTCAGCTCCAATCCCTAGTCTCGTGGTCTGCCAAAAAAAGAAAAAAATGAAAGACTTCGCTGTAACTAGGATGACTTCGAAATTATCAGATGGTTGATTTATTGTTCTAAAAATTATATCCTCCAAGTATTATAACTCTCAAAGCAACACAATAACTTGTCAAAATCAAAGACAACCAATATGTCTAAAGTATGACAAAATTAACTGATCTGGACGTGCACTTTCTTCCTGTAGTATATGTTTTTAATTTTAGGCTCGGGCCCTTTGGTTACTTTATGAGCAAACTTTTCAAAAAAAAATTTCCTGTAGTGATGGAATGACTCCTCTTATTTAATCTTCTAACTAGCGGAATAAGGCACCATATGAAGCAACTACCTTTATTGTCATATTCTATAGGAATAATCGTTTTTCTGTTCATTTTCTTATTCTTAGTATGTCTTGAATTTCTTCAAAATTCTCTTGCCAAGATCCACTTGATGCCAAAGGAAGTATTGACATGTTTGTTTATTCTCTTGCTATCGTAGTCTTAGAGCCCAGGCCAGGCTGCCAGATTGCCAAGCATCAAGTTAGGACAAGGAAGAAGAAAAGTACATATGATCGATCTTTCTTTTTTTTTTTTTTTTTGTGTGTCCCGCAAGGAGTGGACCCCGCAGACTATTCACCACCCTCAACAACTTGCTAGCAGCAAGGTTCGAACCAGAGACCTGAGGCTCCATCTTCAGCAACCTCAACCACCAGACCAACCTCAACCGCAGGCTCGATCTTTCATGTTATTGGTGTATACATTAAATTTGCTTCGAAAAAACTATGTCAAAGACTGCCGACAACAATAACCTATTTGAGGTCAAATTCTCGACATTTTCTGGTCTAAAAAAATGGCAAACTCTCAGTCAAATGCGTATAGCATTCGGAAAAGATATATAGTTTTTACTTTTCTCAGGCACGCAGCAGTGGACGTTTCCCATGGAGTTAACAGCATCCGCCTATTCTTTAACGGGGCAAGATGTTGCCCATGGCATTGAGATAAATAGCAGACGTTGGGGGCAGGTTGACATCTGCGCAGGTTTTCCACACGGAAAGAAGCTACGGCGTGGAAAAATATTGCCGACTCTAGTTTGGAACATTCAAGAGCTAAAATTAATTTAATTCTATTGTCATTAAATTGCATATGACACTTCATTTTTTACATGTGTTTTAAATTGTCAAAGAGATTGAGTGGTGCTTGTACGCGATAAAAATTTCAAGTCTGCAAAACGACAAGAAAAACACACGACAAATATATACTATATAAATTTAGAAAAATATGTGAGTACAATCTCTGGGGTTTTCTCGATCTTGTGAAGAGTTTCCCTCGATTCTTCTCCTCGAACACCAATCCAAGGGCTTCGCAGCTTGTTCTTGGATCAACCACCGACTCCTTCAAATCTTGATATGGAAGATTTGAAGGATTTGAAAATACTTGAAGGCTCAAGCCTTGATATGCGGAAGACTTGAGGAGCTTTGAGACCCAGACCTTCGTAGCTTGAAGCTTCAATACTTGAGTATATGAGATGCTTTCTTGATATCTCTGTGTGTCCCTGTCTGTGTGTGTGTGTGTTTGATTTGGTTAAGAGACCTCTATTTATAGTTGTAGCAAGAGGTAGAGGTTGAGAACCTGTGTACCACTTTACTTGTCTTGCAAGACGTGCAGTCATATTAGGACTGTACCAGTCAAATATTATCTCTTCATTTTATATTTATTAATAAAGAGATAAGAAATTTATCGATTGGCCAAACTCGTGGGGACACGTGACATGGCGCCGTTTGACTGGCCAAGCTATTGCAGTATATAAGAGACATACTTGGATTAAATAACTCTAAATATTATCCCTTTAACACGAAATAAATATTTAGATATTTATCCAATGGACATGTGACATGATATGATTTGGTTGGTGGAGATATCCCTGCAATTTGAATTGATCTGGAACACCTCACCTTGACACGTGGCAAAATATAATTGGTCATTTAATAACCAATTCTTCCAAGTGTACGTGCCATATGGCAATATCCGATTGGATGAAAATATTCTATAGACCAATGGTAATTTTTAGAATTTAATGAAAATTCCATTGTCTACAAATGCCCCTCGAAACTTGTGCGTGAATGCTGGATATCGGAGCAAATTTGAACGGACAAGTTTTGACATATATATATTTTTTCCCTTTTTTCTTTTCTCCTTTTTTTTTTTTTCCTTCCTTTTTCCAATTTGATTGAATCCGCAAGGCTGAGATTTAAGTATCAATACAGCCACGGGTCTTGATCAATTCATACCATTGTAGCCATGCAAGACATTTAAATTCCATCACCGCCCCAATCATCAAATGCGAGAGATACGCATAGTCAAATTGGAAAATCCCGAGGCCGGATCATGTTAATCCAAGTGATGTTCACAAACGTAATTTACTTGGACCTTTGCAATGTTTGTGGCTTTGGATTGAATTCACTTCATCAATGTTGTCTTGTCCTAGGAGCAAGACAATCATTAATCTCCAATTCAAACGTATGAAGCTACTAGCCATGGCCCTTAACATAAAATAATGGTTGCATGCACTTAGTGCTTTCAATTTCCCGTAAGTCAAATTTCATGTAGTACTTGAATTCCTAGTAGCATTTGCTATCAATGATGATTAGGCAAGTCCTGCAAGTCCCGTAGCTCCCGAGGCCGGGATTACTCAATTTGGAAGCTTTGTATCCACCGTTTGAATATCAATCCAAGTAAAGTCCGTTCAATACCGTGGCTTCACTCAAAGCTTTGCAATTCAAATCAATTCATAGTCTTTTTCAAAGCTCTGCAATGCCGTGGCTATTGAATTGGTGATAAAGTAGCCGCCAATTTTAATTATAACCATTTGTCCTCAAGAAGCCAACGTATAACTCTAAATATTATCCCTTTAACACGAAATAAATATTTAGATATTTATCCAATGGACATGTGACATGATATGATTTGGTTGGTGGAGATATCCCTGCAATTTGAATTGATCTGGAACACCTCACCTTGACACGTGGCAAAATATAATTGGTCATTTAATAACCAATTCTTCCAAGTGTACGTGCCATATGGCAATATCCGATTGGATGAAAATATTCTATAGACCAATGGTAATTTTTAGAATTTAATGAAAATTCCATTGTCTACAAATGCCCCCTCGAAACTTGTGCGTGAATGCTGGATATCGGAGCAAATTTTGAACGGACAAGTTTTGACATATATATATTTTTTCCCTTTTTTCTTTTCTCCCTTTTTTTTTTTTTTCCTTCCTTTTTTCCAATTTGATTTGAATGCCGCAAGGCTGAGATTTAAGTATCAATACAGCCACGGGTCTTGATCAATTCATACCATGTAGCCATGCAAGACATTTAAATTCCATCACCGCCCCAATCATCAAATGCGAGAGATACGCATAGTCAAATTGGAAAATCCCGAGGCCGGATCATGTTAATCCAAGTGATGTTCACAAACGTAATTTACTTGGACCTTTGCAATGTTTGTGGCTTTGGATTGAATTCACTTCATCAATGTTGTCTTGTCCTAGGAGCAAGACAATCATTAATCTCCAATTCAAACGTATGAAGCTACTAGCCATGGCCCTTAACATAAAATAATGGTTGCATGCACTTAGTGCTTTCAATTTCCCGTAAGTCAAATTTCATGTAGTACTTGAATTCCTAGTAGCATTTGCTATCAATGATGATTAGGCAAGTCCTGCAAGTCCCGTAGCTCCCGAGGCCGGATTACTCAATTTGGAAGCTTTGTATC